ATATTATATTATATTTTTAATACCTATGAATTCTTGTCATAATTACTATCTTTGATAAAAAAAAAGACATCTATTAAAAGAAATCACATATACTAGTTTTGAAGAGTAATTTTGAAACATAAAGGACCCTTTTAAAGAGATGAGAAATCAGAATTATAATAGTGATATTATTTTGTCAAGAATATTAAACATTTTGACTGATAATTTCAATATTGAATATGATATATAATATATAAATCTAAATTCCCAATTATTATTTTTGCTATTATGTTTTTTAAACTGCTTATTTAATATTATTTATGATCCATATGAATTTTAATTAGGTAAATCAATAAAATAACACAAAAAAGAATTGTGATTATGTTAATTCATTCAGATTAGAATGATTTTTATTTTGCTTACTCTAAAAAAAATCCAATTATATTGATAAATAATGAAGCATTCAATAATAGTGATGATAATACCACCAATATGAAAAGTCATATATAGTACTGAAAAAGAAAGATATATTTTCATATTGAACCTTCTAGAAAATAATATAGAAAAAGAAATTTAATCAAGAATTATATATTATGCAAATGATTAACATAATATCAATAAGATATGATAGGGATTTATAATATGTTTTTGTAATAATTCTTTAGATATCTAATCAAATTTTATATAATTGTAATTGGGTCTTATTTAATTATATGTTGTTAATTAATTCTCTTATTATATAATATAATAGTCAGGTTGAGTTTAATATATTTATAATAAAGACTGTAACAACAATGATTATAAGAAATTCAAAATATAATTATCTGTTGAGATTACAATAATCATAAGAAATATATAGATTTTTAATTATGATATTCACTCTATGAATATGAAGAAGGATATATAATTCCCTCCTTAATTTCATTGAGGAAATGAGTAGAAAAAAGTAAAAATCTTTTTTTTGTTCGATAAAAGAGATTAAAAATAAAATAGAAATAGCGATAATTCAACCAGACATTTGATGAGCATATATTATTGTTTTGAAAGACACATATATAAGATCTAAATTCTTGATTTACATACTAAAATTGGTTATGAAACTACTCTATTGCTACAATTTATGTTATTTTTAAATATTATTTCTTCTTTTTTTCTATCCTATAAATATTACTAAAATTATTTATTAATAACAAATGTGTACCTTGATGCAAAGAGTAGATTAACCTTTTTATGATTGAAAAAGGCTCTTATAAGAATTTTATTCTAGAGTGCAGTATCTCATTAATATATTATAAATATTATACATTAATTATATTTAACAAATAGATTAATATTAAACTATTTTTGTAATCAAAGTATAGCTAATTGTTGTGGATATACATTTACTAGTACTGATGATGCTGAAAATTAGAATTATTATAATTAAACTTCTACAAAATCAGGTGATTTATATATATATAATACAGCTTCTATAGGGTCATGTTCAGCAAGAGTAATCTATGGATGAATATCTTAAAAAATATCTTATGTGAAAATTAAAATGGAACAAACTTTATGTAAATTAAATGGAGCGTGCTATTTTTTTTACACTACTTTAAGTTAATGTCCATCATACACAATTCGATCTGGAGTTAAAGAGAAACTTATATTGTGAAATGGAATGTTCAGAATTGCAATTACTCCAACTAAATGTTCATTTAATGCAGGCGTAAGCACAACAAAATGATCTAATATAGACACTTGTGAAGAGTTCATTTCACCTGCCAACACCATAGAATGTAATAAAATATTAAATGATAGAAAACGTTAACTTTCATTTAAAAATGTATCCTAAAAAAACAATATATGTTGATTCTTCAATCACTAGAATGAATGCATGTTAAGCTGTTTTTTTGATCAACCGTGAAATCTGATTATATAAAAACTGTTAAATACTATGCATATAATTCTAAAAAACAACACCACACTATTTCATCAACGTATTTTATAAGCAGATTGCTATGTAGGAAAATGAAGTTGTAAATTTTATAAAGGAGCTTGTTTGTACAATAGTTGCATGTGCCAGTTATACATTATAACATACACTGATGAAAAATAATACTTATTTCTGCTGGGGCAGTTGATTAATATTGTTCTTGTGACCATTTTTCAAGAAGCTGTTTGTTATAATCCAGTTGAGAGTGTCGATTGATGCACAAAAATAACAGCTGACCTCACAAATTATACTGATTTTTATTTATAAACAATATAAGAGTCCAAGAAAAATACTAGTAATCTTAAGCTAGCATTTTGTTAAGCCAATTTTAAATAAGATGGAGGTAAATGTACATGGACTACTGGAGCAATAGCTTGTAGGGATTATCCAACTGAAGTTAAACAAAATCCTTAATCGCAAGTGTATTTTGATGCAATTCAGACAGGCTGTCATTATTCACATCAATATAAATTTTTATACTAAAGACAAGCATGTACCTCTTATAATTCAAAAGCTCTATTGAAGATGATAACCTTAACTATTGCAATTAACTTAAAATCTCTCTAGATTTTGGATATACATATTTTAAAAAGGTAGTGCGATAAATTGTCCACAATTAGTAAGTTGCTCTTTTATTAGTTTAAATAGTATTACTGATGAAAGAGATAATTTATTAAATTTTAAGGTTCCAATACTCAATTCTGACAAATGCACATACTTTTCAGGTTCTGGTAGCATTGGTGTAAGTGCTTCCTATTCATATACTGGAAGAACTACAGAAACTCTATTAACTGATTTGGTTTAATAAAAGAGTGCTATTGGATGATTTTGTTTTGGTTTTGGTAATGCTTGTGAATAGGCTACATGTGAGAATGAAACATCAATAATTTCTGAGAATGTGACATCAGCAACTACTATTGATATTAAGAAATATTCCACTAAATAAATATGCGAAGATTTTAACATTAAATCAGCAATTTGCACTCACTCAACAGGAGGAACTAAGACAAATTCATTGCTTATTAGTCTTAAAGATACTAATCTGTGAAGACTGAATAACATATGCTGATATTGATGAAAATTGTAAATAAAGAGCATGTAATTATGTTGCAACACCTAGTTTTTTAAATTATGAAAAAGAATGTAAGTTATATTTTTACAAATAAATCAAAAGGTTAAAATTATATAGCTGAAACAAAAACATGCTCATAATAAATCAGATATCTTAATTATTGTGATTGGGCATTAATGTTATTAGCAAGTCAACCTCCACAAATGAACTCTTGCTTCTACCTCTACCTTGTGATTTGAATGTAACTGCTACTCATAAAACTGAGGCATACTCCTTCTATTATGGAACTAATGAAAAATGCGAGTAATATTCAGGACATTATAAGGAATGCATTGGAGATTCTACTGCATGTAATATAGCTTGCAGAAATTAATAATGTACAGATTTGCCTACGACGACTATGAAAATTTCTTATCAGGATGTTTATACAAAGGAATAGGATATGTAGCTAAAAGTGCTGCTAGCATAGCATATAAGGAAACATTAATAATTTTTTCTGGATTTAAAGGAAGCAACGAAATCAAATATTGTTCAGAGCCAGTGAAACAGATGTTTGAAATTGGTGAGGATAGGATATGCTCTTATAATACAGGTAACTACAGATGCTAAATGTTAAAAATTCTGACCATCTCCAGCTTCTGCTTAATTATGTATTACTTATTGAACAAAATGAACGGATTTTAGATAATAATTTTCATTCTGTAAACAAACTGATGAAACATGTTAATGCTCCTAACACATTTTCAAAAGATCGATAATTTTCAGATTATCATCCAACTTTTAAAATATCGAGTATAAATTGTAAGAAAAGTGTTGGATATGGAGATTAAGCTTCTCAAACATCATGTACATCATGTTAATGGGCAGAACTTAATGCACACAGTTTCATTAAATATATATGGTGAAACTATTTGTGCGAATACCCCATTAAAAATTGATAGAAAAGGATCTGGTTTAATAGTCATTTTTTGCAGAGATTCTTCTCATTTGAAGATTATGATAAATCTATTATAACTCATAAAATTTTGAAGATAAAATCGAACTTTTACTACCAATAGATCTGCCAAAGGAATATGCTCATCATAAAAATTCCAATCTAATTGCTAAGCTGGTAATACAACTGAAAAATCAGTAATATGCTTTTGAATTTGCTTGCAGTTATAAATAATGTAGAGATATAACATTAACTACAAATGAAGCATGCAACACTTGGTTTGCTGGATGTATTTAGTGGAAACTCTGAACTCTGCTTATAGAATAGCTTTGGAAATACATGTTTATATATTACAATTGTACAGATATTCTTAAAGTTTGCTAAGCCTATTCTGAATACTGTGTTCTAACAAATTCAGTATACAAAGTGATTACACTATGCGATAACTACGATAATGTTTTTTCATGCACATTAGGTATTAATGATACTTAATGTGGATGGTTCCATTAGGTAAATGCAAAGATTACACAGTATATAGTAATATAAATGATGCTAACTTATCAGCATGTACTAGTTGGGGTTCTACTTGTGTTTCAGATGGAACTAAATGTATTGATAAAGGAACTTGTTTTTCATATCTAATCCCTTCAGGTTGTGAAAATGAAGTACTGATAAATGTTGTTAATGGACTGGAAAATATTGTATTCTGAGATAATTCAAAATAAAGCTGCTTCTTCTGATACTAAATTTTTAGCTTAAGTTGCTAAGAGTGGATTCTGTAAACTGATGAAGGTAGATGTGTTCCTAGATCTACATGTGTTTTTTATCGAAGTGAAGCAGCTTTTAAAAAGGGTTAAGTTAAGGTCCCAGGTGAGTTTGATTTAATAGTTGAAGCAACAACAAGAACTAAATCATACTAATCTAAAGAATACATAAAAATCAAAGCATCTCCAAAAAACGCTTATCTTTTTAATGAACTCAATTTTGTAAAATTAAGTTACATGTGCCTGTTATAAGAATAAATTATCATGCAAATCAAGATGATCTGATTGTAAATGTGCATTTACTCCAGGATCAACTGTTGCTGATCCAAATAATCTACATGCTATAATGTCAAATCCTGTGAACTGATAATAATGATGAATATGCTTGCAACAGTACACTAAGGCCATATAAATGGTCATCTAATATAAGTGGAACTACTACTACAACTAAATTTCAACCAATGGATTGACCTGGAGTTGGCTCAGGTACTACTTGTAATCCATTCCAAAATTTTTAAGGTGCATCAAGCAATATTTACGTATTATGTATGTGCAGTTGGTGATCCATCCACTCTTACAACAGAGTAATACTAAAAGCCAACAACACTGTACTCATAGACTTGGAATGAATCAAAAAATAATTGTGTTACATGCAAAGCTTCTACTAGCACTATCAATAACGCTACTAATCAAAATACCAATACAGATAATAATAGATACATTTGGTATTGCAATTAAAATTTCAACAAAATCTACTAATTATAAATTCTCATTCAATCTTGTTGTTTTTATTTGTTAAGTTGNAATACCCCATTAAAAATAGATAGAAAAGGGCCTGGTTTAATAGTCAGTTTTTGCAGAGATTTTTCTCATCTAAAGATTATGATAAATCTATTAAAAATTGTGAAGATAAAAATCGAACTTTTACTACCAATAGAGCCAAAGGAATATGCTCATCATAAAAATTCCAATCTTATTGCAAAGTTGCTTATAAAACTGAACAATCAGTAATATGCTTTTGGAATTCTATAACCGCTGCTTGCAGTTATAAATAATGTAGAGATGTAACATTAACTACAAATGAAGCATGCAACACTTGGTTTTCTGGATTTATTTAGTGAAAACTCTGAACTCTGCTTATAGAACAGTGTTGGAAATACATTTTTATAAATTACAATTATACAGATATTACTTAAACTTTTGCTAAGCTTTTTCTGAATACTGTGTTCCAACAAATTCAATCTACAAATTGATTACACTTTGCGATAACTACGATATTGTTTTTTCATGCACATTTGGTATTAATGATACTTAATGTGGATGGTTCTAGAAGGTAAATTCAAAGATTACACAGCATACAGTCATATAAATGATGCTAACTTATCAGCATGTATTAGTTGGGGTTCCATTTGTGTTTCAGATGGAACCAAATGTATTGATAAAGGAACTTATTTTTCATATCTAATCCCTTCAGGTTGTGATAATTAAGTACTGATGAACTTTGTTAATGGACTGGAAAATTTTGTATTCTGAGAGAATTTCAAAATAAAGCTGCTTGTTCTGATATTGAATGTTTAGCTTAAGTTGTTAAGAGTGGAGTCTGTAAACTGATGAAGGGAAGCGTGTTCCTAGATCTACATGTGTTTTTTATCAAAATGAAGCAGCTTTTACAACAGGTTAAGATGAGGTCCAATATTACATATATATATGGAAAGAAAAATAAATTTTAAGACTCTAATATTATTATAAAATTATTTTTTTTATCCTTTTGAGATCAAGGGTGATGAAGGTTTCCCAGGCCATAAGTGATTCGGTCTTAAATACTTCAAGCCCTAATGCAATTAGGGAAATCCCCTTCAAATCAAAGTAAGGATAAGATACATTCCTAAGGTCAAGTAACTCCTCCCATATTCAAAGCGCTGGGCCCATTATCTCTTACGTTTGATCGAGTGAATCAGTCCACTTATGGGCAGACAAATTTGAAATGGAAAATGCTGTATATCAATGAATGAATTAATATATATTTCTTTTATTTCATATATCTGCTCCCTTATATAAAAAAAAATAATTAACTATGATTTGATAAAGCCAAAATCAATCTAAAATTTATTATATTAAAATAAATTGAAGCAAAAAATTTAATAGTATTTAGCAATTATCAAAAATATAGAATGATATTATTGTTTTTAAATATTAAATACTCATTGATTCTTTTTTCTTCTAACAATTTCAAATTAATAATTTAGTTCTTTCTATTTTGTTTTTTACATATTGATCATTTGGATCAATTTTTAATGATTTTTCATAACAAATTAGAGCTTCTTTATATTTTTTTAAGTCTGTTAAACAATCTCCTAAAAATTAGATGATAAGATACCTTTGGATATAAGAGAAAATGTATGATTCTGATTGATGGACAGTGCTTTATTCAGTAATTATAAGGATTCATTATATCTGTTTAATTATCTTAAAATCTCACCTAATATATTAATTATTATTCAATTTACCTTTCTCATGTAAAGAACTAACATGCTTTGGATCAATAGCTAAAGCTTTGTCTAACGAAGTTATCGCTTCCTCATATTTACTTAACAATCTTAAACATAAACCTATATTATAATTATGATTCAATCTACTTTTTGCATATAAGGAATTAACATTTTTCGGATCTATAGCTAATGCTTTTTCTATCCAAATGATTGCATCCTCATATTTATTTAAATTTCTTAAACATTGACCTTTTAATATAATTATGATTCAATCTACATTTCTCATGTAAAGAATTAACATGTTTAGAATTTATAGATAATGCTAAATCTATCTAAACAATTGCATCCTGATATTTTTTTTAATTTCTTAAGCACACACCTATTAATGTCATTATTATTCACTCTACTTTTCTCATATAAGTAATCAACATCTTTAGAATCTATCGCTAATGCTTTGTCCACCCAAATGATTGCATCCTCATATTTACCAAGAAATCTTAAACATGCACCTATTAATTATTTTAATATTTACCTTTACACCATAATGATTAATGGTTATAAGGATTTTTCAGGATTGATTATTCAAAAAGTTCTATTGCCTAGTCATATTTATCATTCCTATATAACTAATAGCCTAGGGATTAATATAATGTAATTACCTTAATAAAATAATTCTTTGGATAATATTTTAGAATTCTCATCAATCTAATAATAATTAAATTGTGATAATTATAATTCTCCATATAAATTATTAAATATATCATTTAATTTTTTAGTCTCTTCTAAAATGATTGTTGTTATTAATTATTTTTTTTCAATTAACTTCAAACTTTAATTCAAATAATCATTTATTTGCTGTGAATTCAAATTCACTAATTATTCCTTTTATAATGAATATTTGAATCTGATTCCCATTTTTAATGAAGAAAATGTTTGATTCACACTTTCTACATATTTATTGAGTTCCTCAATAAAATTATCACATTCTTGATTTTTATTTTCAATATATGTTATTAAGGTGCTGATTTTTTCAACATCTTTAAAATGATCATGATGGATTCTTCCATACTTTAAACATTTAAAACAATTTAATCTGAATTCTGTGCAGAATTAGTTAAAACAAACTATGTCTATCTCATCCAAATGATTATCTTTTAAGCATTTTAGCATTGAATTTGATTACTAAATCATTTTTTATTTATTTATAATATATATTTATAAAAATCATAATTGACAGTTTATTCTCATTATATAACTGATTGATTTATTAAGTTTTGATAACAATAAATTCATGCAGAAACATTCAAAACAAAATTTCAACAATTTAACATTAAATAACTATAGCTTAATCTATTATGCTTTTTTTCTTTTATGCTACTTTCATTGTTTGATTTTTCATGAAAGTTTTAGTTNTCATTAACTCACTTGAATGAATAGAACAATTATCTAGCATTATAATAAACCTTTGGTTATTATAAACCAAAGATACTTGTTTTATTAACTAAATAATAAGTTGTCCAAAATCACAGTGATTTACATTTCCTTAACAAATTTAGAAACATGAAATCAATTCGAACCTATCCCTCCAATAACATGCAAATTACGGTTTAAACTGACTATCCTTTTGAATTTTACTTTTCCTTTCTTTATCAACATTTTAGGTTTTTTGTTTGATGACAGAAAGTCGTTTGATCAAGATATATTGTTGAATAATGTTCTTTGATATAAGTTAATATCTTAATACAATATAATGTAACCTAAACTTCTCTTTATTTTTTATAAAATCCAGAGGAACTTGTCTGAATGTTAAACATTTTCCTCTAGTTCATGACTATTTGGAATCAATTTTTTTCTTCAATATATTGCATTACATGGCAATCCAATTAAAATTGAAATATATTCTGTTGTAAAACCTAATTAAGTAAATTTTCGAATAATTTAGACATTTTCCTTGATTAACCAAATTTTAGAGGATTTCTCTAATAGCTTTGATTTGGTGATTGAAAGCTATTGCTTCAAATTCATTAAGTTTCTAAATTTAATCAAACTTCCTTTTTTATAGTGGTTCTAAAAATGCTCATATTCTATCAATTTATAACATTCACTTTTGCATCTATAATGTGGAAGACATAAGCACCCAATTTTGATTTTTTATTGAAGTTTGAAATTCATCAATATAGATTTTCTTCTAAAGCATTTCGATCAACTTATTTCTCAAAATTTGATAACCAGAATCTAAAATACTTTTGTCTTCACTAGAAATTTTATAAAATAATAAATATTTTATAACATTTGTGATATTACCAAGATTATTTCAAATATATTTCTACATAGAAATTTTTTTAAAATAGAAATATATATTGGGACTTCAAAATTTATATGTCGCTTTTTAATAAGAATGAAATTGTTGATATTATAATTAAATTTTTGAGCTTCATCTTTATTTTATGAGTTCGAAAAAAATTAAACATTGTCAATCCCTATTCTAGAAATGAATCATCAAATTTATATAGTCAAACCATCAACCTTTATTTGCAATATATAAATATTATTTTAAATAATCCATGTTATAGGCATTACCGATTTCTATTAACGAGGCAAATAGGATAGAAGGTTCCCAAAAATGAATGTACTCTGCTCTATCTTAATAATAACAGTATATTCAATTCAATTCAAAAAAATAAAATTTTTTGAATGACTTTCCTATTTTAAAGAAATTTTTAGAACGCAGTTATATAATATAAAGAGGTACCTATTTTTATTCTCTTTTTGAAAGGCTTCTTTAGCATCAAAAATTTTTGGTGAAATATTCAAAAAAAATTAAAAAAAATGTAATTTTAAATAAAGATAATTCATTTTTTCTCCTTTTTTTCTTTTTAGCAGCTCTCATGGTTAGCTTTTGCATGAAAATTTTAGTTCTCTATAGCATTTTTGATTTTTCACATAAAGATGGTTGGTAGGAATCATCTGGATCCAACTTTTATTCTTCTATAATTTTTTATTTGAATGCCTCAAATTTTTTAAATAGTAATTCATCATGCCCCCAAATATTAAATATTATGTTAAGATTGTAATTTCATTCCTTTTAGGTTACAAGTTGAACAACTATATTTGAATCTATCAATATATCCCAAATTATGATATTTTGATATTCTTTCTTTTTTTCTTGTTTCAGCTTCTCCTTCAAAGTTCTAATTCAGTATTAAATCATAGTTATCCTGATTTCTTACAAAATATTTGTATCTCTCCATTTCTAAGTAATTATATTTTAAAATCAAATAATTCCCATATCTTATTCATTACTTTATAAGAGGCTGTTTTAGGTAATCCAATTAATATATTAAATGAAGATCTTCCGACTTTTTACAATACTTCATTTTTATAATTTGATAAGCAAATAACATAGGTGAAACAAACATATTAGAAATGTTGTCTAATATAAGTATTTCGTCAATATGACATTTTGCCTATGTGGAAGTAATCTTTTTATGGAATTAATTAATGTTCAATGTGGTTAATTACTTTCTTAGTTTAATTTAATTATTTAGGAATTTTGCCCTTAATATCCATACTAAGTATTAAAAAATTTCTCTCTTTTAATTTTTCCATATTATCTAAAGAAATTTAAGGCAATAGTTATTTATCTTGATTTTTCTAGATTAATGTAAAAAATTACAATTTTAAGTTACAAGATTTGTTGCATCTTTTAATATTTGCGAGTATTCTAATTTCATTTTATCTTTTTTTTTAACATGTTTACATCCTTAATTCTTTTAATAATTCAATTAGTTCATCAAAATAACTTTCAAATAGAAAGGGTTTAAGAAGTGAACCTTAATGCACTCATTTTTTAAATAAACTCTTTCCTTTCTTATTGGATCTTGTATAAATAAATTACTATAAATCAATTCAGGAATATCAATAACCCTATCTAGAAAAAATTTAATATATTTTCTCTTTCTCATACTTATTTGAAATAGCTTGATGCTATCAAAACAATTATAACAATTAAAAGCATCATAAAGATGAAAGAAGATCACAGATTTGGCTACCTTTGATTCCGATCAAAATATTTAGTTTCGAGTTTCTCAATTATTGACCTAACATGGTATTAACAAAACCAATCTAAAATGGGTAGATTTCCAATGTACAATTCTACATAAATTTTTGTACATAGATAATCTCGACAATTTTAATAAAAAGGCTATTATGCCATAATAGGTCTAATTATTCAATTGTATAAAATTTTGGATGAGCTTTATTTAGTGGCCAATCTAATTGCAAATAAGAAATTAATCTATGCTATACATCTTCCTGGTTAATATTTAATTAAATTAAAGTATTGTAATTCAATTAAATCATAAGAAACAGCTTTTTTTTCTGTTTCTTTTTAACTTTCCAATTTTTTTTTTAGATATAAAATATAATAATTTAGGGTACACTATCTTATTTTAATTTCCATCCTTATATAATTCTTTAAAATTTTTAGAAAAAAGCTTAGCCTTTACTATTTCTATCTATACTTTTTATGTTCTTAAATAAGCATAATTATATATTATGTATAATATCTAACTATATCTTGATCTACAACAAATATTTAAATATTCGTTTAGAGTACTGACTTTTTTTACATTTAGAAAGTATGAGGGCCTAACAAGTCTTCTTTCTTTAAAGGTGTTGTAATTGTCAAAGGCCTATGCCCGAAAGTCAGTAAAAGGCTGAATAGTGTTGGCTTCATAAAGAACATTTTTTTGATTAATAGATAATCTATATATTAAGAGAAAGGATTTTTAGTCATCATTCAAAATTTCTTAATTATTCACTTATTTTATTAGATTGCAAATCCATTTCCA